AACCCAAGTTCCCAAGCCAGCCAGCCACAACCCCGTGAATTCCTTAGGGTGGTGCCAGCCTCATCTTCTTAAACTTCCCATGCTCCTGCTGGGGGCTAAGGAAACACTTATCTCCCTTAGCATGGCCCTCATAACACCATTCCATCACAATAGTTGACATAACATGACATTGGGTTCAAAGGGAACAATATGTTTCTTTGGGCTTTTTCGCTTGCCAGAAACCTTTGCTACACACTACAGTACTGCAGAAAGAAGGTAGCGCTTCATAACAATATAAGAGGGGTAGATGTTGGAGTAGTTCCACAGTCCTGCAGAAGATCCCATATTCACTCTGGGGAGTAGGTGAGAATCACTATATAGAGCAACCTGTCACTCTCCTGCTACACTGGATATCAGTTCCCATCGTCCCATTGTCTGGAAACTTATGGGAGAAAGCTCAACCCACTTGGATGGTATCAGATTAAAGAAGGCAGCAAGCAGGAAATATTCAGCCAGGTGGATCAGCGTTCTGAATTGAAATAATTTTCCAAACTAGAGTATTTCACTCTAGGTCTAACGATCCAATACACTTCTAGAAGACTATGCAATCTGACAAAAACTTAGTTATAACAACAGTAGCAACGTATGTAATTGCTACCTTATACAGCAAGCGCATTACTGACTGCTCATGTTTACATCACGTTTATTTCCTTGTGTACTCTTGCAGTGACCAGCTGAGACATCAGCTGGGGTTTCTTTGTCCCTAATGTGTTAAGGAAGTCACATTAAGCCCTAAACTGGGACTTACAAACCACAGCAGTTAGATTTACAAAGCACACTGAGCCAAAAACATACCAACCACACTATGGCTCAACATGAGAATTTGGACGGTCTTTGGGCAGCCATGGATGTGACTTAACATCTTTTGAGGGATTGAGGGATCCAAAAGGGACAGAGCTACATTGCACTCATGGGCAAGGACTGGCTTTGCGCTGGTGTTTTTTTAACTGTGTCATGACTCTTGAGTTTTCCACTTCAAAATGATGGGAATCTGTGCCATTGGGCGTAAGCGGTTCTGTTTAGAGGAGGCTGTGAAGGCCATAAAAAGGGGACATGGATCATAAGTGTCCCATTGTAATGAGAAGAAGTAACCTTGAGGAACAGGAGGAAAAGTTGCAACCAAGACAACGATCTGATAAAAGAAATCTGAGTTCAGGGCAGAAATGTAATTTGAGAAAGCGTCTCAGATATGATCCTCCCTAGTCCTCATGAAGAAAAAGGGAGAGGCGAAGCCTATTCAGACTTGCAAATTCTGTTGCTATGACCTTATAATAAAAGTAGCATTAGCTATTGTGTCTTGGGTTTCCAAGATGGCCTCCTTTGGAGGGCTGACACCCACCTCCAGTTTAGCATGATGGGAGAATCTACCCTATAATCTGCACAGACAATAAAGTCTCTATACCTTATTGAGAATAGCAAAGATGTAGGTATAAAAGGGAATCTGTAATTGGTCACCTAAACAAATATATTTTTTAAAAAAATAAATAAATCTGCAATCTAAGGAACAATAGACCAATGGCACCCATTAATAAGTATGCACAGCTCTAATTTCTTGTTGGTTTTTAATACTCTGTTAGGACAATGTCACTGGATGCTTATGAGGACCTGAAGTATTTCTTCTTTTTCTCCATGGATGAATGACAAGGGGATGTGATCAAAGCCATTAGTAATTATTCCCTCAGTGTTTCAGTCTCAGAAATCACTTTGGTCCTAAACCTACAAGAGAGAGAGAAGAAGTTTTAGCCATGGTCACAGTGTCTACTGAGGCATGGCCAGGGCTAGGTTCTGGAAGCTGGCAGAACAGCTCTTTCTTTATGTTTTTTGACGGGTGGAAAAAAAGAGGGAAATGAATTCTTAAGGCTATGTTTTGAATTCCGTATGGACAATTGTACAGATGCAAGCTATAAAAGAAAACTAAAATTCTGCACAAAAACAAGCCCCGTACAAGATCACTTCTGTGATTGCACACCAATGTCCATGTCCGAATTCATTTTGGAAAATGTTTTCTGCAGTGTTAGCGGTTGGTTGGTTGA